GATGCTCTTATTTAGGGAATGACTCTTCCCATTTTCAAACATGCAACACTCTTAGGTGGTAGAGCTTGTTCCCCCATTGCTCAAACACAAGCTGAGTTGGTACCAGTCACTGAAACATGTCAACTCACCCATTTTTGTAGAGGAATTCAGCCAAGAATTAAAGAAAAGAGTTTCAAAAAAAATCACACCATGCGTACGGGAAGGCAGAATAATTGTGAATTCAAATCTAGTTGCCTTTTGAAAGCCTTTAATGGCAAAGATAGCAATGTTGACCCATTGTAACAACGAGATGTGCAAGATACTATGTTGAAAATGAACTTTACAACTTCCTCGGGGAGGCGGGGGGGGGGGGGGGGGGGGGGGGGTTATTGTGGAGGTGGGAGGGAAGGGATTAGAGGGGAAAAACAAAGGAGGAGGCAACAATGCTCATAGGAAATGCACTCATTACCTTGCTCATGTAACTGTAACCTCTCTGTACAGTATTCTTTTATTTAAGGTACCAAAATAATTTTACTTTTGCTATTATTATTCTTACAATAAAAATGTACAAAAAAAGAGAAATGAGTAGAAACAGAAAAGACAGAAGGGAGTCTTTCAGTCCATCTGATATGGCAAAGTTAAATAGATATATTTGCCTTCTACCTTTTTTCACAAAATCTAAAAAGCAGGTTTAGAATGTAGGTGGCACAAGTTTGGCACACAAAAGCATCTTTGAAGTTAGATTTGTACACCCCTATAATAAAATAGTGTATTAACCGTATAACCTTAACATATTCTTTTAGCTGCAATATACAATACACTCCTCAAAACTAATAAATCCACAGGTGAACTACATAAATCTGTTTCCTTAAAGAGAATATGTACTTTTAGTAGAAAGGTAAAGTTATATGTCAGGAAGAATTATAGCTAGAAGATACTCATTTTTAGGTGTAAATGTTCATTGAGGATACGGGGTTTCAAGAACAGTTGAAACATCAAAGGATCATAGCTCATCAAACAGTGGTAAAGAAAAAGTTTCAGGGGCTTAAGGTATGGCTTATGTGATAGAGTGCTCACCTACGAAGCATATAGCCTTGAGTTGAAACCCCAGTACCACTCAAAAAAATATTAAAAAAGAATAAAGGATTTCAGATATGACAGAGAGTAACTTATGACAATGTTACTGACAAGAATGGGAAATTTATTTCTGTCTAAATCTGTTTCAGCACACGGTGGAGCACACAGACATGCAGGGCCCTCCCCAGGCCAGGCACCTAGGAAAGAGAGGAGGAGACAAGGAAGTGAGCCACACTCTCCCCCCAAGGACTCCATTCCCAAACTGCACAAAACCAGCAGACCCAGAGTGGACAGGAGTCTAAGCTGACATCCTGGCCTTCTCTTGCTCAACAGAAACAAACACTGAGCTCAAGAAAACAGAAAGTGAGAGGCCAGATTACAACATGGAACAAAGGAACAACACAGGGACTTGACATGGTGTGTGTGTGTGTGTGTGTGTGTGTGTGTGTGTGTGTGTGTGTGTGTGTGTGTGTGTGTGTGTGTGTGTATTTTCTCCTTAAGGTATCTGCCAAATTGTTTTTGATGCAGGCCAAGGGTTTAAGAAGTGACACTATAAGTCCAGTTTAAGATCTGAGCAAAGGAAGATAAAATGAAGCAGTGTCAAGTTATTGCTATAAGATTTTATAAACAAAATTCAACATTTGATCAAACTTACTAGGCATATTAGTAGATATAGATGAAAGACAGAAAATGAAGAAAACAGATAATATAAACAGATCCAAAGAAGAACCACAGTTGGGAATTATCTAATCATGAACTAACTATGGATATTACCACACACAATTCAGAATATTAGCAAAAATCAAGGAATATTGGTAGGAAGAGAACAGGAAAATCTAGGAGCATTATAGTACACTGATTTTTAATGTAAAAAGAGCCATTGTCAAAGGAATTATATAAAGACCTTATATTCAAAAGAAAAACAATTGATCACAGAGCAATGAAGTCGGAACAAAATGCAATGATGTCTAAAAATCTAGCCTGGCACCCGTGAATCCTGGCTACTTGGGAGGGTGAGATCTGAGAATCATATTTCTAAGACAGAGCAGACTCTTATTTCTCTTTCTTTCTTTTTAATTTAATTTAATTTTCAAGGGGTTACAGTTACATACGTAAAGTAGTGAGAACATTTCTTGTTACCCCCTCCCTCATTTTTCTCCCACTTTCCCTCCCCGCAAGGCCTCCTCCAGCATGTTGTCTTGTGAGCACCACTGTTTCATTGGTTTTTATCTACCATTAACCAGCCAAATGCTGGGCTAGAAGAGTGGTAGAAAGCCAAATATGAGTGAGAAAGCTAAATGGGAGCTCGAGGCTCTGAGTTCAAATTCTAATACTAGCACAAAAATAAATAAAAAGAAACTATATTTTTTGAAATATTTTCTGAATGACGAATACCCTTAAAAAAAGAAAATGGCAAAAGGCATTGTTTTTCCATAGAAAATATTGATAAATTCATCATTCCGAAAAAAGCGTAGTCTAGATAATCAGTACTAGAAATGAATCTTCTTTTTTCTTTTTGTTTTTATTTATTTCTTTTTTAAATTTTTTTATTGTGAAAATACTGTACAGAGGAGTTACAATTACATGGGAAAGATAATGAGTACATTTCTTATCAAGCATTGCTGCCTCCTCCTTTGTTTTCCCTGCCCACCCCTTCCCATCTCCCCACCCCAAAGAAGTTGTAAAGTTCGTTTTTCGACATAATGTCTTGCAATGGGTTCACCTGTATCCCTATTTAAACGATTTATTTTTTCTCTTCCCCACCACAAATTATACCAACATCTTCTCTGAAGAAGAAAGAAGGATGGTCAATAGACACATGAAGAAATGCTCAACCTCCCTAGCCATAAAAGAAATGCAAACCAAAACAACATTGAGATTCCACCTCACCCCAGTTTGATTGGCTATAATCAAGAACTCTAATAACAACAGATGCTGGAGGGGATGTGGACAGAAGGGAACCTTACTGCATTGTTGGTGGGAGTTGAAACTTGTTCAACCACTTTGGAAAGTAGTATGGAGGTGCCTCAAAAGACTCCACATAGAGCTCCCCTATGACCCAGCAATCCCACTTTGGGGCATTTACCCAAATGTTCACAAACAAGACCATACTAAAGCTACCAGCACAACTATGTTTATTGAAGCATTATTTATCATAGTTAAGCTATGGAACCAACCCAGATGCCCCTCAGTAGATGACTGGATCAGGAAAATGTGGTATATATGAACAATGGAATTCTATGTCTCCATCAGAAAGAATGGCATTACCCCATTTGTTAGGAAACGGAAAGACTTGGAAAAAATTATATTAAGTGAAGTAAGCCAGGCCCAAAGAAACATAGGTCCCATGGTTTCCCTTATTTGCAATATCTAGTATATGTCTGAGTCAAGCAGAAAAGGTCAGATAGGTGATGTTAGGGAAATGAACCCTAAGAAATGTATTCAAATGTTTTTTTTTTCTTTCATGCGATTGTTTCTAACACATTTATAAGATTATTTCTTGGTTGCTTTGTATGTCCCTCCCCCACAGTATAACCCCTGCTTTCACTGTATTTGATGTTGGTATAATTTGAGGAGGGCAAGAGGAAAAACAAATCGTTTAAATAGGGATACAGGTGGACCCATTGCAACAATGAGATGTACAAGTTGTTATGTAGAAAATGACCTTTACAACTTTGGTGGGGGGCGGGCAGAGAGGATGGGGGAGGAGGATGGGAAGGGATGGGAAGGGGAAACAAAGGAGGAGGCTACAATGCTTGATAAGAAATGTACTCATTACCTTGCCCGTGTAATTGTAACCCCTCTGTACAGTATTTTCACAATAAAAAAAGAAAAAAAGAAAATGTGGTATATATACACAATGGAATTCTGTGCCTCCATCAGAAAGAATGACATTGCCCATTTGTTAGAAGTGAATCTTGATCCCTCAAAAAGATAAAAATGAATACAATCTTACTTGGATATTATAGTTAACCAAGTATATCTGAAAGGTTATTTCAACATTTAATTAAAAAATACTGAAATATTTTCCACTTTCTTTGTATAAAAATATTTTAAATATCTTCTGGGCATATTAGACTTACAGTACAATCAACTTAAAACTCTCACATTTCAACTACTCAATAGTCTCTATTGGCCTCCATTGTAGACAAAGAGATTCTTGTTTGTAGCAAGAATCGACTTCTACAGTTTACAAATTTTATTACTACTCAATTAGTTTAGTAGTAGATTACATATTGAATGTCACATTTAATTACTTCAATAAATGTTTTAGAATCTACTTCTCTGTAATTAATATAGCCACAGTATATTCCTCAATTAATACAATGTGATTTAATGACATGCATTCTGATGTGAAAAGGAATATTTTTCTGAGGTATACTATTATCAAGCTGCATAGAGACCCAGCTTACAAAACAAAGACTAACAATAAAGCTAATTACCAGTAGCTCATATCTGAAATCCTGGATACTCAGGAGACTGAAATTGGAGGACTCTGGTTCAAAGCCAACCTATGCAGGAAAGTCCATGAGACTCTTTCCTATAACTAGCCAACAGAAAACTGGAAGTGTGCTGTGGTTCAAAGGTATAGAGTGCTAGCCTTGAGCATAAAGAATTCTGGGACAGCATCCACAACAGGACCCATAACAACAACAATAACAAAAACCCACCACCAACAATAACAACAAAAACCACAATATATTCGTGTTTTTCTTGTGTATTAGCTCTTATATGAGAATGTCTATGTTAATCTAAACTTGCTTGATTCAGGAAAAATAAAAAAATCCTTACTTTTGCAATGAGACCTGATCCCCCAATAACTGATAGAATCATTATATTTTGATTTCTTTGTATTAAGAAAGATAGGTCAATTAAAAAGCTGTCATTTTTACCTTACTTAAGTAGCTCTTTTTTGGGTATCAAAAGAAAATGAAAAACTGAATTTATAAAACCCCTATTATCACAATGGTTAACATGAAGAGGCATGCAATGTATCTGCTACCATGATCTCCTAATTCCTCATCGGGGCCAGAAAGATAACAAAACCAGTCACTAGAAGAGCAAGGAACATGTATAGCTTTGCAAAAAAAGAAAAATCTGAGCAAGAGATTGTGTTTAACAGTTAATGTATACATCATAATATATACAGGACCCAGTGAAGATGGAGACACTCACCGTATTGTAGCTTCTGATTTGTCTCCTGGGCTTTTGTACTTGTCTTTTCTTTGGCATTTTCTTTGATATTAGTATTTTTACTCTTCATCAGGGGAAAATTTGGCAGAGTGACATTAAATGTTTTCTTCAGGACAGAATGTCTTAAAAACGTACTGAGCTGTGGAGAATGAAACAGTAGCATGCTTTAATTATGTCATTCACAAACTGAAAAATTGCTGCTTATAAATAATGAATTCACTAATTGAATTAAGCAATATCTTTCATTAATATCTTACATGTTTGGATTCCTGGGGTTAGGATCTCTAAATATACTTTATACTGCAAAAAGTTTATTAGTCATGAACTTAACTAAAGTGCTCTTAATATTCTTGACAAATGTCACACTGTTAGAAATATGTTGCGGTGTCACGTAGGAATAAGGACACAAACTCAAAAAGAACTCCACAAGGCAAAGTTGATTTCTGCAGAAGGGTGCACAAGCAGACCCCGCCGCTCTTCTCAGATTGGCTGAGTTTAGGGTCACAATCTGCAAAACAATCGCAAAAGGATGTGGCTAACTAAAATTCAAGGAGCTTTTAAAAAGAATGTCTGTAAATAAATGTAATTAACAAGGGCCAAGTCTCTTGGCCAAAGCAAAAAGTTTTCAGAAAAATAATTTGGTCAAGATTAATAGAAAGTAAAGAAACTACTTTGATTTTAAAAAAAAAAGATTCTTTCTCACAACATATATTTGAAACAGAATTAGAGGGTGAAAACTGTAACTTTAAAAAAAAGATGCTGGGTTATAGGGGAGCTCTATGTGGAATCTTTTGAGGAACCTCCATACTACTTCCAAAGTGGTTGAACAAGTTTACCCAAATGATCACAAACAAGCTACCAGCACAACTATGTTTATTGCAGCAAGATATGGAACCAACCCAGATGCCCCTCAGTAGATGAATGTATCAAGAACATGTGGTATTTATACACAATGGAATTCTATGCCTCCATCAGAATAACATTGCCCCATTTGTTAGGAAATGGAAAGGCTTGGAAAAAATTGTATTAAGTGAAGAAAGCCAGGCCCAAAGAAACATAGGTCCCATGGTTTCCCTTATTTGCAATAACTAGTATATGTCTGAGACAAGTAGAAATGGTCAGATAAGTTGATGTTAAGCAAAATGAGCCCTAAGATAAGGACTCAAATGGTTTTTCTTGCTTGCTATTGTTTCTAACATATTTATAAGATATTTCTTTGTTGCTTTGTATGTCCCTCCCCACAGTATAACTCCTGTTTTCGCTGAATTTGATGTTGGCATAATTTGTGGAAGGGAAAGGAATAAACAAATTGTTTAAATAGGGATAAAAGGTGAGCCCATTGCAACAGTGAGATGTACAAGACGTTATATCGAAAAACGAACTTTAACAACTTTGGCAGTGCGGGAGGGAGGGGGGAAGGGGATGGGAAGGGGAAACAAAGGAGGAGGCTACAATGCTTGATAAGAAATGTACTCATTATCTTGCCCATGTAATTGTAACTCCTCTGTACAGTATTTTCACAATAAAAAAAGATGTGTATAAAGTTCAACATGTGCATATAAAATGTATATTGATAACTTTTACGATAACTTTTAGTATAAAAATAAATTTTGCTTTCAAGGAGGGAAGATACTAATTTTTTACATGTCTTCTAATCAATATTTATCCCTCCACCAAATAATTATGTTATGCGTATCATCTGCCCAAGACCATTCTAGAACTAAGACAGAATCTACCTGCTCTCTTCAGTCAACCTACCAACCTACCAAGGAAACCATTAGGAACAACAAGAATTTGAAACAACTTCTAAACATATATATAAATGCCCTGTGACTTTCAACTAGTGTGAGGGATATCTGCTAAATCTCTTGTGAAAAGATTATTGAAAAGAAAAATTAGTATTCATCCGATTAGCATTTGAGTGCATCCTTTGTAACACTCTTTTTTTTTTTGCCAGCCCTGGGGCTTGAACTCATGGCCTGGGCTCTGTCCCTGAGCTTCTTTTGCTCAAGGCTCGCACTCTACCACTTGAGCCACAGCACCACTTTCGGCTCTTTCTGTTTATGTGGTATTAAGGAATGGAACCCAAGGTTTCATGCATACAGGCAAGCACTCTATCACTAAGCCACCTGCCCAGCACAGACCTCTCATTTTTATTCTTACTTCCCTCTCTGACAACAGGATACACGCAAGAAGTTAGGAAATAAGGTGAGTGGTTTCTGAACACAAGCTGAGAATGCCAGGATACTACGTGCTCAGGTTACTGCTTGTCTCTGGCTTGTCAGTAAGAGACACCATAGGTGTAAGAGTGTAAAATCACCTTCTTGTGGAAGGAGAGTACCACGGACTTTGACTTGGACACTTCCAATGTCTGTGATCTTCAGAAGCCTACCTCCAATTTCTGAGCTTTTTCAGTGCAGACTGCTAAACTGCCTTCTGGATATATTAACTGAAGTAGACTTGATAAAATAGTCCTAGTTTATGGAACATCCTATTGCTCAGTAATTGAAGCATGGACTTTTCAGTGGTTGCCCCTCGGCCCTCTGATTTCTGTGTGTTCTTAAATAACTTCATCACACTGAAATTGACTTTTCACCTTAGAACATAGGGACAATAAAATTTCCTGTTGTAAAAGCCATGTACATAGGTCCATATAAGAGGATGCTAAGTGTAATGAAGCTCAAGACACGTGGCTGTTGTTTTTAATGTACTGTGTAATTTTTTGTGTTTCTTTTGTATGTTCTTTCCCCATGGTACAACCTCTGTAGTCACTGTATTTGATTCCAGTGCCCTGAATCTTGTATATACATTTTTCTAATTTGGGGAGGGGAAGGGAAATAACAAAATGCTGAAACAAGGATATGGGTTGACCCATTGTAACAATGTACAAGACACTATGGTGAAAACGAACTTTACAACTTGGAGTGGGAGGGAGGAGTTGGGAGGTGAGGAGGGAAGAGATGGTAGGGGGAAAACAAAGGAGGGAGTAATAATGCTCAATAGGAAATGTAGTCATTACCTTACTCATGTAACTGTAACCCCACTGTACAGTATCTTTACAATAAAAAAATTAAAAATCTTGTTGTATAGTATTGTTATATATGGAGTAAAATGAATCCATATGTGTAAGGTTTATCAATCATAAGATATAAAAAAAAAGCTACTGCCAGGCGCAGGGGCTCACCCCTATAATCCTGGCTACTTTGGAGGCAGAGAGCAGGGAACTGCTGCTTGAGGCCAGCTTGGGTAAAAGAAATCTGCAAGATTCTGATTCAACCAATGGCCAGGTGCAGTGTTATACACCTGTCATGCTTAATGACACAGGCAAGTACAAGGATGATCACAGCCCAGACTGGCCTGAGCAGAAAGTAAGAATTTACTCTTAAAATAAGCAATCTCAATAGATGCAGAAAAGCATTCGACAAGATCCAACACCCCTTCATGATGAAGGTTTTGGAAAAATTAGGAATCCATGGAACATTCCTCAATACAATAAAGGCTGTATATGAAAAAACTTACAGCCAGCATTATACTTAATGGTGAAAAACTAAAGCCATTTCCTCTTAACTCAGGAACAAGACAAGGATGTCCACTCTCTCCACTTCTCTTCAATCTAGTATTAGAATGCCTAGCTACAGCAATAAGACAAGATGCAGACATAAAGGGGATCCAAATAGGGAAAGAAGAAATAAAACTCTCCCTCTTTGCAGATGACATGATCTTATATTTAAAGAATCCCATAAACTCTACTCCCAAATTACTCAAGCTGATTCAAAACTTTGGCAAAGTAGCAGGGTATAAAATTAACTCCCAAAAATCAATGGCTTTTCTGTATGCCAACAATGAGAAAAGTGTGGCTGAAATTAGGAAAGCAACTCCATTTGTAATAGCCCCACAAAAAATAAAATACCTAGGAATTAACTTAACCAAAGAAGTGAAGGACCTCTATGATGAAAACTTTAAAATCTTGAAAAAGGAAATCAACACAGAACTTAGAAAATGGCAAAACCTCCCATGCTCCTGGATTGGAAAGATTAACATTGTGAAAATGGCAATACTTCCCAAGGCTATCTACAAATTCAACACGATACCTATCAAAATTCCAACCTCATTCTTCAAGGAAATAGAAGAGGCAATCCAAAAATTCATATGGAAAAATAAAAGACCCTGAAGAGCAAAAACGATCCTCAACGGAAAGAACACTGCTGGAGGAATATCAATACCAAATTTCAAACTCTACTATAAAGCCATAGTAATCAAAACAGCTTGGTATTGGCATAAGAACAGACCTCAGGACCAATGGAATAGAATTGAAAATCCAGAAATGAACCCACAGACCTATAGCCATCTAATCTTCGATAAGGGAGCTAAAACAATAGAATGGAAGAAAGACAGCCTCTTCAGTAAATGGTGCTGGCAAAATTGGTTAACTACTTATAGAAAACTAAAGCTAGATCCTTATATATCACCCTGCACCAGAATCAACTCCAAATGGATCAAAGACCTCGAAGTCAAAGCAGACACTCTGAAAACATTACAGGATGGAATAGGAGAAACCCTAGGTCTCCTTGGCACAGGCCGAAATTTTCTGAATAGAGACCCGGAAACACAACAAATCAAAGAAAGGTTAGACAAATGGGATTGCATGAAGTTGCAGAGCTTCTGCATGGCAAAGGACATAGCTAGCAAGATCAATAGAAAGCCCACAGATTGGGAGAAGATCTTCACTAGCCATACAACGGACAAGGGTCTCATATCTAAAATATACTTGGAACTCAAAAAATTAAATTCCCCAACAACAAATCCTCAAAGAAACAACTGCCCAATAAATAAGTGGGCTAAAGACTTGAAGAGAAACTTCTCTGAAGAGGAAAGAAGGATGGCCAATAGACACAAGAAGAAATGCTCAACCTCCCTAGCCATAAAAGAAATGCAAACCAAAACAACATTGAGATACCACCTCACTCCAGTTAGAATGGCAAAAATCAAGAACTCTAACAACAACAGATGATGGAGGGGATGTGGACAGAAGGGAACCTTACTGCATTGTTGGTGGGAGTGTAAACTTGTTCAACCACTTTGGAAAGCAGTATGGAGGTTCCTGAAAAGACTTCACATAGAGCTCCCCTTATGACCCAG